TATAAACTGACAGCACAGTTTAAAAAAAAAGTACCCAATAGGGATGCAAGAATCGGTCCATCCACAGGATCCATCAGCATGGCTTCTTTGTCATAGAATGAACTGAAGCACACAATAATAACACAAGTATACATGTGGAAAGAAAATAGCGTTAACACCAAGACTGTTTTTTAATTCAGCCCCATGTTACTCATTGCATACCACAGCTCTTGATGACTTCTGTGCAAACAGATAATGTATTAATATTACCATAGAGAGGGTACAAATTAGAACACATGAGAGAAAGAAGCCTAAAAACTTTGGTAGTTACAATACATAGAAATCAGCTGCCTATGGCAAAAAAAAAAAAAAAAAAAATTGTGGCATTGAAAAGAAAAGACATTCCAAAGCCTCAAAAGGATTAAAAAAAATATAGATAATCCTACCTGCTGTTTTCTACTAAGTACAGGACAATCTTATCTAGGAGCTTTTCCATCAGGGCAGTTCGAATCCATAGGTGTTTCAGCGCTTGAGGAGGAAGGTTAGCCAACTTGGACTGCCGACTGCGGTCAGTACTCAGTGAGGAATTGTTCTGCTTGCTAAAGCAAAAGAAGAAATTTACAGACGATGTCTGCATAGGCTCTTAAAATCTAACAGGATGAAACAGGAATGAAAAATAGCACAAAAGAGTTTATATATCGATATATATGAAAATAACTATAAGAAAGAGTCTGTGGTCTCCCACAGATAAAAGTTTCACCTGTTTTCAATGAGCTGTTCCAGCTCCTGGACCTTGTGACAGAGCTCCGCAGCAGGGGAAAAGCTTTTTGCCACCTTCATAAAGAGTGCCGCAACCTTATTACTGCACAGCAGGCCTGCAATCCTACGTTTCAATCCATGAAGCACACACGCCTCCACTACAGCTATACAAACACACATAAACATGCAGAGACTTAGCAAATATTTGATTTGTATTTATATAAAACATATAGGTATATCAATATATACATTGTTTATTTCAACTTAATCTAATCCATCTTTTATGGATTTGAAGCGGACATGTTTGTATTTGGCCTAAAGCTTTATTTTTCTCTAAAAAGCACAGTACAACTCCCTTTTGTTAAAGGCCTCAGTCTCATGTTTCTTTTACAGAAACAGGCGAAAGCAAGCACAGGTAGCTCAAGGAGAAATAGGCTGAAGTCAACACTGCCTACAGTTGCTAGGATATAAGTGTTGAGAATCATATACGCCTCACTCCTTGTTAGTATCAACACCTTTGAAGGTTCATCCTTTTACTTTATTGATTATAAATAGATGCGACTAATGAAAAGAAATCATTAGGAACAGACTGCACAGGACCTTTGGGCACTGTGAGAATGAACTCGTAGGAGGTGATATGGCTTGACACAAAGTGAAGTCAGCCGTCATTCTGTACTGTAAATGTCAGTATGGATGTGGCGGACGGTACTGTACTATTTAAAACTGAATGTCTTTTATTAGATTAGATACAATACAGAAAACCTATAATACCTTTTTTAGTTGGAGGTAAAGATTATAGCTAAAAGAAAAGACATTGTTCATGTCATCTGCAATATTAACTGAGTAATGGATTGTAATAAAATATCTAATAAAAGCAGGCAGTAGAAAAACATTTACCACAGAAGGATATAATATGGCTGCTGTCTGCATGCACAAATTTCCTCGTTACTGCCTCCTCCATAATTTGTTTCACCTAAAGGAGAGAAGTTCACCGTCAGATACGTCTTAATCAGTCTGACACAGTTACATAAGGTGATAAAGACAAAACAAGAAGCACAGAAGCGAGTGATGTTAGAAAAAGTAATGATGAAGCAGCAGTATGGCAACATAAGACATTTCCTACAAGCAGGTTATAGCATCCTGCTGATGTACGCTGCCAAAACTACCAAAACTATAGCCTCATCTTCTGCAGTTTACAAAGCCATTGCAAGTGCTGTACAACATCCAACGTGCACTTCACACTTCAAATGATTTTGCATGTAAAGCACATGCAATTTCTGATCTCCTCAATTTGTCTGATTTATTGTAAGCAGTAAAAGCAAACCTTCAAGTTTTTGTTTACATTTTCTAGTGATTCCAAAAGGAATTGTTTCTTGATGTTTTCTACTTGCATTCCTAAACACATTCATCCATCCATCTACTTTTTTTTTTTAGCTTATCCAATTAAGGGTTGCAAGTAGCCTGTCTCATGTGTTGTAGGTTGAGAGGCTCTGTGCACCCTGTACACCCTGGACAGGTCGCCAATCGGTCTAAATAATCTAAATATATCTAAATAATACGTAAATATGTAAATAAATTCACTAACAATTTATTAACACACTATACCAAACTGCAAAGTTTGCAATAAGCACACTTTTACAATATAGCTACAATCAAAGCAGCAGATAAAAAAATTTACATTTTTTACCCCATTGTATGAGTCAATTTCCAACTTCCCTGTATTATATGTTTCCAATAATCAACCTAGTAATAGCACTGTATAAAGTAAACACCCACACCTTAAAGCTATGTTTGTGTCATAAACAGTGATCTACAAGCAAAATGAGAGAAAAGCTTCAGTGACATCATCTGGGGTTATTTGGTCAAGCTCGACAAAGCCACAGACATTACTGTAAAACTGTGTTTTCAGTTCAAATAACACTTATATACTGTCCTTGAAAAAAAAAAATCAATGTTGCTCTCCATTTCACTTTAATAAATGTCATATTTTTGAACAAGCTTGTTGTCATAGCTGCAATTATGATCAGGTTAAAAAAAGAAGAAGAAAGAAACTGAGATGAGCATGATCATGACTACACTTTTTGAGCGTGGCATTTTCTCTGAATGTTTATTGTTTGGTCGTGATCCACAAAGTAGTCACGTCTGCTGCTAAGAAACGTATCATTAAGCAATAAAATGCACTAAATTTAAACTGATGCTCAGTGCCCTAGACACATTCTCCCATGAAATTAGATGAAAATCACTTCCATGCTTAAATATGATTGTGCTGGAATTCTGCTGAATGTTCACAATTCAGGGGTTATTTATTGCTGCTGCAACCAGACCTCACGACTGTCCTGTCCTTCGCCTTCACATGAGTAAACAACATGAAAGGCACGCTTTGTATTAATTACCCATCTATATAAAGCAAAGTGAAACATTAAAATGCAGTTTTGCTTTTGTTTTTCTTAGATTTATATATCACAGCTAAGCCACTCCTTACTGCAGGATCCTGTATCAGTGCCTTAGGTTTTTGAGAGGCAATGAGTCACAGGTGAGGGGGAGAACACACACAGAGTGGGTCTAGAAGTACCCTGCTTGAGTAAAAGCTTCATATTTCTTTGCCTGCATGAGGAATCGTGGAGTCACTGTCCACTTTATAAGGGTGGTGCATTGTGCCGCTTTCTCTGACTGATTTGCAAATACATTTAAACATATTTATGCTGTCATAACCTATATTATGGCAGCAAGAGAAGCTACTGCAAAAGCACCTATTAAAAACGCCAAATTAAGCAGATGGTTGGGTCACACCTTTAAATTCTGACTAACAGGGCGGTGGGTTGAAAAGAATATGCCAGAAAACAGGCTTAAACAATCTGTGCGTGGCTTCCTGATTGTGGTGGGTTTCTTCCACAATATAAAACCATCAACATCATCAGTATTATCGTCATCATTACCATCACCACCGTCGTCATCACCATCTTACGCCAGTCCACCAGCAGTCACAAACAGACCGGTATCCTGCACAGCCCCACCGGCAGCCTAATTGCGTCTAATCACATTATGTAAAATAAACCGTCAGTTTTATCATAAACAGGCCTACGGTGGAGTCAGCCCTGATGAACGATAACCACACACACACACACACACACACACACACACACACACACACACACACACACACACACACACACACTGAGCATATAGCGCCCGTAAACATAAAATGTGATGCGCGCAAATGAAATAAAATGCACCAACCTCCTTCTTCACATTGCGCAGCAGTTTCTGGCGCGTCTCGGCCTCTGCCACGGGAGAAAACATAATGAGTTATGCTGATCAGATGCTGTTTTGGAAATTGATGGTGATGCGCTCACGAAAGAGAGAAATAGCGGCGTCGGTACCTCCCATCGCTCCTGACAGGGTGCAGCGGCTGGCACTCACAGCTTTCTGGACGGTCTTGACGGTGATTTAGGCAAGGCTGCTTTACAGGGAGAGTCAGTCCGGGATGTACGAGGTGTTCTTAACGACTACATCAAACCTATCTGCTACCTCACCGTGAACCACCACCCCTTTAAAGTCACAGTACCCTGTGCGTTTAATGTACACAACGACAGTCTCCTCTCCCCCCCCCGAGGGAAAAAAATGCAAGGTGCACTCACAGTCAAAAATGTATCTGTAAAAAAATACAATAAGAAACTTTTCCTAGAATGTTCATTGGCCGATTATTATTCATACAGGTAATGAATGGGTTGTGGGGAAATGTATCTTTTCAATCTTTTCTTTCCCCTTGCATTGTACATAATGATCAAGGAAATGATCAATAAGAATGTGCCATCCCATGATATGCAATACCGTGTTTCCAGTGTTAATTATATTTACTTGCTAAACGTTATTTGTTCTTACATATCATTTCTTGATGACGTTTGATTTGTGATTTGTACTGCCTAGGTTTGCAGTACAAATCACACCTCCCAGAGTTGTTAACATTTTCTAGAGGATAATATAGACATACAGAAATGTAAATACAGAATACATATATGGCACAAAAAGTACGGAAATTAAGGAAATTTGTGTTTGTTTGTTTTTTTTATTTCTTGGATGGAAAGCCTGATTATGTCTGCTTAAATGGTGCCCTAACTGTAAAGGTAAATGCATTTTTGGGTTGAGCAAAACAGAGTTATGTATAGATAGATAGATAGATAGATAGATAGATAGATAGATAGATAGATAGATAGATAGATAGATAGATAGATAGATAGATAGATAGATAGATAGATAGAAGAGATGGTGTCGCAAAGGAGCTTTAAGGGAGCCCTGGTAAAGTGAGAATATTTCAGACTTTATCAGGTGGAATAATCAGAACGGTGATTGCAGCCTGACCATTGGAAATACTTACCTTTCTTGGTTACAGCCATTAGGCAGAGAGCCATCAGATGAGCCATTCTGTGAGCAGGAGGAGCAGGAGGACTTCCTGGGGGCTGGTTGCCACATATTAACACCCTGATCCATCAGCTCTGGGGCCACTGCACAGCAAAGTGTCCCTTACTACTACTGTTCCTATTATCACAATCAATTAAGCAAGCAAAACCAGGAGCAGCCCTAACTGATTTGGATATTAAAATGAATTTCTGAAAATGATAAGAACTGATAATACATGGTGAAAAAAAAACAAACAAACAAGAGAGAGGATGGAGATGCAGATGTGGCATACAAATTGCAAAGACTCCTTATTGTCAATGGGACTTTAATGTGAAATGGAGACATGGACACTAAACAAGGAGGAAAAATATTATGGCTGTAACAGTTTCACATTAGAAAGGACTTAATTACAAAGACAAACACTGAATATATGCCTGGATGAAACATCAGATTCATCTAAAGTGAACTGTTTGAAGTCAAATGACATATAAAGTAATTAGAACAGTTATAGATATAATCTTTGATGATTCTGTATTGCATTATCTCATGGAGGCAGAATAGAAAGATTAAAGGCACTAACTGAACTCCATCTGATTGCCAGGAAAGAGGATCCGAAACACATAATCGGTTGCTTCATCGTCTTCCTTATCTGATACAGAATCACATGAATCATGTGGACTTCTCTTTCGCAGTTTGGGGAAAACCTTTCCCTACAAATGGAAATAGTATGTGAAAGAAAATATATCATAAATATTGGTAAAGTAAATATTGTTGCATGAAATGTTGAAAAATTATTTGAGCAGAGGTGTCCCGTTTACCTTCCCTCTCTGATTCCAGAGTGGCGGGTCTAGCTGCCCATGAGGTAGCAGGCCAGTCTCTAAGCATGTGAGAAACTGGAGCAAATGGCCTCCTTTAGGAAAGTGTAGAGGAGGCCTCTGGATCCCATCCTGGCTCACCAAAACGACTGTGCCTCCACTGTTCACTGGAGGTACCCACACGTGGGAGAAAAAATAAATAACTCGTGAAACTCGTGTGACTTTATTTGGGAAATTAAAAACCATATCTGATTTAAATTTTTGCCGATTTTCACTCGATGCGCCTCTGGACCAGTGCTAGCACAGCTGGGGTTTTTTTTAGAGTGCTCCAAGTCTTTGAATTGTATTCCATTTTATTTATATAGCAACAAATCACTACAGCAGTCACCTCAAGGCACATTATTGTACGGTAGAGACCATACAATATGACAGAGAAAGCCCTAACAATCAGCCAACCCCTTTTGAGCAACAGTGGGAAGGAACAACTCCCTTTCAACAGGAAGAAAGCTCAGGCAGAACCAGACTCAGGGAGGGGAAAGCCATCTGCTGTGGGGGTGATGGGAGAAAGACAGGACAAAAAACACCGTGAAAGAGAGCCAGAGGTGAATAATAACTAATGATTAAACTCAGAATATTGTATAAACACACACTGAGTCAAATAAAATGAGTGCATCATGGGAATTCTCAGCAGCCCAGACTCATTGGAGTGCAACTAAGGGAGGATTTAGAGTACCTGATCCAGCCTTCACTACATGCTTTATCAAAAAGCATTAGGTTTAAACCTAATCTAAAAATTAGAGAGGGTGTCTGTCTCCTGAATCCAAACTGGGAGTTGGTTCCACAGAAGAGCATCCTGAAAGCTGAAGGCTCTGCCTCCTATTCAACTATAAGTAGAGCTCTACTGCTCTATTGAGGTGATATGACAAGATATGGTCTTGTTCTGATTGTGTGCATTTATGCATCTCCTATTTTACTCTGGGCCTCAAATGTGAGCAAAACGAAAACAAAGTCCCCTTCTGTGACAAACTCATCAGCCATTTATGTATTACTGATCACTGAAGAGGAGATATGAGTCTCCAAATACAAACCAGCAGCTTTTGCTTGAAGAGCCCACAGTGTTTAAGCCCCATCAGCAGTACATTAGGTCAGAAGTGTGACCGCGAGCATGCTTGGTATTTTTTTAGACATTCACAGGGTTGTGAACCATAACAATCTCCTCCCTGAGGATCATACTGTCATTGCAGTTTTATCGTACAATCTGAAGGACAACATTCAGCCTGCCAGCATACCATAGCGCATCTTGCGCAAAGTTTTTTTGCAACACAAATGTCACCTACTACATGCCCTTCTAACTGGGTTTCTCACTGAATTCCCTGCAACTTTGTGCTTTCCCCCTAAATTAAATTCAAATTATATTTTGACACACTGGAAAAGAACAAATATGGCTTCCAGGGAATAATCTAAAACAAGGGGCTGCACCTCAATGCTGCATAAGGTGACAACTTTGAAGGGGAAACAGGCTAAATTTAATTTTTAAATGGCACAACTTTGCATTGCATCCAGTACTTTAATAGGTGAGTTACCTTGCTGATGACAGTGGAGATACACAATCTCCTCCAAACGAATTGTCATAGCATAATCCCAGTAAACACTGAGAGAAACACAAATGGATATTGGTCAGTGAATAAACTTTGTAAACACAATATTTAAGTCTCAGTAGATTGGGCTCTTTTTTTTCTGACCTTTTTTCAGAGTCCAGCTCCCCAACATTGCCATTCATCAGTTGATTTGGTGTCCACTTCAGGGTCATGAGGTCTGCAGTTTGATGTAGAGAAAGGTAGCCTGGAATGGCCTCCATGTCATCTCTCTGTACACACAAAACAAAATGTTAATATTTTCTCTCTCTTAAAATGAATAAATAAAACTAGTTTTGTATGGTTGTTTTAAAAAGGACAGGAAAATCCATACCGGCTGGACCAGGACATTGTTCTTCCCAAACAGAAGTGTGGCTCTGGAGTTTTGGTGAAGTGATTCAACATATTCCCTCACCCACATAAGAGGGCGATCATCCATGCTACCACTGGACTGTCTCTTTTGGATCTGTTAGGGATTAAGAGAAGAAGAAAACACAATTGCATACAGCCTATTGCTGGTTGTTTTTACAAGGAAGCATTCAATTTAATGACTGTCTAACCAAGGCCGGTCTTCTGGAGGGGGAATCCTGCCGACAGTGACCGCTGTGAATACGATGCCTCTGTACAAGCTCATCTGCAGATGGATCAGTCCAGAAATGGTCTGCAGTCTTAACCTTGGTGTACTCCAAAGCACAGGGGCCAACTGTAAAACAAGGTTAATGGGCTTAAAGTAAACATCCGAATAAGTAGCTATATAAACTGACAGCACAGTTTAAAAAAAAAGTACCCAATAGGGATGCAAGAATCGGTCCATCCACAGGATCCATCAGCATGGCTTCTTTGTCATAGAATGAACTGAAGCACACAATAATAACACAAGTATACATGTGGAAAGACAATAGCGTTAACACCAAGACTGTTTTTTAATTCAGCCCCATGTTACTCATTGCATACCACAGCTCTTGATGACTTCTGTGCAAACAGATAATGTATTAATATTACCATAGAGAGGGTACAAATTAGAACACATGAGAGAAAGAAGCCTAAAAACTTTGGTAGTTACAATACATAGAAATCAGCTGCCTATGGCAAAAAAAAAAAAAAAAAAAATTGTGGCATTGAAAAGAAAAGACATTCCAAAGCCTCAAAAGGATTAAAAAAAATATAGATAATCCTACCTGCTGTTTTCTACTAAGTACAGGACAATCTTATCTAGGAGCTTTTCCATCAGGGCAGTTCGAATCCATAGGTGTTTCAGCGCTTGAGGAGGAAGGTTAGCCAACTTGGACTGCCGACTGCGGTCAGTACTCAGTGAGGAATTGTTCTGCTTGCTAAAGCAAAAGAAGAAATTTACAGACGATGTCTGCATAGGCTCTTAAAATGTAACAGGATGAAACAGGAATGAAAAATAGCACAAAAGAGTTTATATATCGATATATATGAAAATAACTATAAGAAAGAGTCTGTGGTCTCCCACAGATAAAAGTTTCACCTGTTTTCAATGAGCTGTTCCAGCTCCTGGACCTTGTGACAGAGCTCCGCAGCAGGGGAAAAGCTTTTTGCCACCTTCATAAAGAGTGCCGCAACCTTATTACTGCACAGCAGGCCTGCAATCCTACGTTTCAATCCATGAAGCACACACGCCTCCACTACAGCTATACAAACACACATAAACATGCAGAGACTTAGCAAATATTTGATTTGTATTTATATAAAACATATAGGTATATCAATATATACATTGTTTATTTCAACTTAATCTAATCCATCTTTTATGGATTTGAAGCGGACATGTTTGTATTTGGCCTAAAGCTTTATTTTTCTCTAAAAAGCACAGTACAACTCCCTTTTGTTAAAGGCCTCAGTCTCATGTTTCTTTTACAGAAACAGGCGAAAGCAAGCACAGGTAGCTCAAGGAGAAATAGGCTGAAGTCAACACTGCCTACAGTTGCTAGGATATAAGTGTTGAGAATCATATACGCCTCACTCCTTGTTAGTATCAACACCTTTGAAGGTTCATCCTTTTACTTTATTGATTATAAATAGATGCGACTAATGAAAAGAAATCATTAGGAACAGACTGCACAGGACCTTTGGGCACTGTGAGAATGAACTCGTAGGAGGTGATATGGCTTGACACAAAGTGAAGTCAGCCGTCATTCTGTACTGTAAATGTCAGTATGGATGTGGCGGACGGTACTGTACTATTTAAAACTGAATGTCTTTTATTAGATTAGATACAATACAGAAAACCTATAATACCTTTTTTAGTTGGAGGTAAAGATTATAGCTAAAAGAAAAGACATTGTTCATGTCATCTGCAATATTAACTGAGTAATGGATTGTAATAAAATATCTAATAAAAGCAGGCAGTAGAAAAACATTTACCACAGAAGGATATAATATGGCTGCTGTCTGCATGCACAAATTTCCTCGTTACTGCCTCCTCCATAATTTGTTTCACCTAAAGGAGAGAAGTTCACCGTCAGATACGTCTTAATCAGTCTGACACAGTTACATAAGGTGATAAAGACAAAACAAGAAGCACAGAAGCGAGTGATGTTAGAAAAAGTAATGATGAAGCAGCAGTATGGCAACATAAGACATTTCCTACAAGCAGGTTATAGCATCCTGCTGATGTACGCTGCCAAAACTACCAAAACTATAGCCTCATCTTCTGCAGTTTACAAAGCCATTGCAAGTGCTGTACAACATCCAACGTGCACTTCACACTTCAAATGATTTTGCATGTAAAGCACATGCAATTTCTGATCTCCTCAATTTGTCTGATTTATTGTAAGCAGTAAAAGCAAACCTTCAAGTTTTTGTTTACATTTCTAGTGATTCCAAAAGGAATTGTTTCTTGATGTTTTCTACTTGCATTCCTAAACACATTCATCCATCCATCTACTTTTTTTTTTTAGATTATCCAATTAAGGGTTGCAAGTAGCCTGTCTCATGTGTTGTAGGTTGAGAGGCTCTGTGCACCCTGTACACCCTGGACAGGTCGCCAATCGGTCTAAATAATCTAAATATATCTAAATAATACGTAAATATGTAAATAAATTCACTAACAATTTATTAACACACTATACCAAACTGCAAAGTTTGCAATAAGCACACTTTTACAATATAGCTACAATCAAAGCAGCAGATAAAAAAATTTACATTTTTACCCCATTGTATGAGTCAATTTCCAACTTCCCTGTATTATATGTTTCCAATAATCAACCTAGTAATAGCACTGTATAAAGTAAACACCCACACCTTAAAGCTATGTTTGTGTCATAAACAGTGATCTACAAGCAAAATGAGAGAAAAGCTTCAGTGACATCATCTGGGGTTATTTGGTCAAGCTCGACAAAGCCACAGACATTACTGTAAAACTGTGTTTTCAGTTCAAATAACACTTATATACTGTCCTTGAAAAAAAAAAATCAATGTTGCTCTCCATTTCACTTTAATAAATGTCATATTTTTGAACAAGCTTGTTGTCATAGCTGCAATTATGATCAGGTTAAAAAAAGAAGAAGAAAGAAACTGAGATGAGCATGATCATGACTACACTTTTTGAGCGTGGCATTTTCTCTGAATGTTTATTGTTTGGTCGTGATCCACAAAGTAGTCACGTCTGCTGCTAAGAAACGTATCATTAAGCAATAAAATGCACTAAATTTAAACTGATGCTCAGTGCCCTAGACACATTCTCCCATGAAATTAGATGAAAATCACTTCCATGCTTAAATATGATTGTGCTGGAATTCTGCTGAATGTTCACAATTCAGGGGTTATTTATTGCTGCTGCAACCAGACCTCACGACTGTCCTGTCCTTCGCCTTCACATGAGTAAACAACATGAAAGGCACGCTTTGTATTAATTACCCATCTATATAAAGCAAAGTGAAACATTAAAATGCAGTTTTGCTTTTGTTTTTCTTAGATTTATATATCACAGCTAAGCCACTCCTTACTGCAGGATCCTGTATCAGTGCCTTAGGTTTTTGAGAGGCAATGAGTCACAGGTGAGGGGGAGAACACACACAGAGTGGGTCTAGAAGTACCCTGCTTGAGTAAAAGCTTCATATTTCTTTGCCTGCATGAGGAATCGTGGAGTCACTGTCCACTTTATAAGGGTGGTGCATTGTGCCGCTTTCTCTGACTGATTTGCAAATACATTTAAACATATTTATGCTGTCATAACCTATATTATGGCAGCAAGAGAAGCTACTGCAAAAGCACCTATTAAAAACGCCAAATTAAGCAGATGGTTGGGTCACACCTTTAAATTCTGACTAACAGGGCGGTGGGTTGAAAAGAATATGCCAGAAAACAGGCTTAAACAATCTGTGCGTGGCTTCCTGATTGTGGTGGGTTTCTTCCACAATATAAAACCATCAACATCATCAGTATTATCGTCATCATTACCATCACCACCGTCGTCATCACCATCTTACGCCAGTCCACCAGCAGTCACAAACAGACCGGTATCCTGCACAGCCCCACCGGCAGCCTAATTGCGTCTAATCACATTATGTAAAATAAACCGTCAGTTTTATCATAAACAGGCCTACGGTGGAGTCAGCCCTGATGAACGATAACCACACACACACACTCACTCACACACACACCATCACACACACACACACACACACAGCACACACACACACACACACTGAGCATATAGCGCCCGTAAACATAAAATGTGATGCGCGCAAATGAAATAAAATGCACCAACCTCCTTCTTCACATTGCGCAGCAGTTTCTGGCGCGTCTCGGCCTCTGCCACGGGAGAAAACATAATGAGTTATGCTGATCAGATGCTGTTTTGGAAACTGATGGTGATGCGCTCACGAAAGAGAGAAATAGCGGCGTCGGTACCTCCCATCGCTCCTGACAGGGTGCAGCGGCTGGCACGCACAGCTTTCTGGACGGTCTTGACGGTGATTTAGGCAAGGCTGCTTTACAGGGAGAGTCAGTCCGGGATGTACGAGGTGTTCTTAACGACTACATCAAACCTATCTGCTACCTCACCGTGAACCACCACCCCTTTAAAGTCACAGTACCCTGTGCGTTTAATGTACACAACGACAGTCTCCTCTCCTCCCCCCCCCCCCCCCGAGGGAAAAAAATGCAAGGTGCACTCACAGTCAAAAATGTATCTGTAAAAAAATACAATAAGAAACTTTTCCTATAATGTTCATTGGCCGATTATTATTCATACAGGTAATGAATGGGTTGTGGGGAAATGTATCTTTTCAATCTTTTCTTTCCCCTTGCATTGTACATAATGATCAAGGAAATGATCAATAAGAATGTGCCATCCCATGATATGCAATACCGTGTTTCCAGTGTTAATTATATTTACTTGCTAAACGTTATTTGTTCTTACATATCATTTCTTGATGACGTTTGATTTGTGATTTGTACTGCCTAGGTTTGCAGTACAAATCACACCTCCCAGAGTTGTTAACATTTTCTAGAGGATAATATAGACATACAGAAATGTAAATACAGAATACATATATGGCACAAAAAGTACGGAAATTAAGGAAATTTGTGTTTGTTTTTTTTTTTTATTTCTTGGATGGAAAGCCTGATTATGTCCGCTTAAATGGTGCCATAACTGTAAAGGTAAATGCATTTTTGGGTTGAGCACCAGAGTTATGTATAGATAGATAGATAGATAGATAGATAGATAGATAGATAGATAGATAGATAGATAGATAGATAGATAGATAGATAGTATAGATAGTATAGATAGATAGATAGATAGATAGATAGATAGATAGATAGATAGATAGATAGATAGATAGATAGATAGATGAAAAGGCCAAGTATGCTGCTTGTGGATCTTGGTGCTTGCACCTTTTGCTTTGATAACAGCTGTGCACACTGTTAGCATTCGTCCACTGGCCTGTCAGGTGGAGTTTTCCCAGCAGTTTTGGGAGTTCTCACATATGTTGAGTTCCAGCTGACTTCTTTTTTTTTTCACTCTGTAATCTAGCTCATCCTATCTCAAAGGGGCTTAAGTCATGTGATTGTTCACACCACCAACACCATGATCTCACTAAACACAAACCAAGCATGCTGCCGTAGGCCCTGGTCTGGATGGGCCTGGGCTCCCTTGCCTTGGTGGGTACCAGAGGACGGGGGTGCCTACTGGGGTCAGCGGGGGAGCTGGCCCAAGGGAGGGGCATCCCCCCCGGCTACCTCCCTCTTCCCGCTCCACCACACCCACCCACACAGGTAGGGCCTTGGGGTGCGGGTGTGTCACCAGGGTGCAGGGGAGACATCCCCCCCGTCCCCTTCTGGCCACCTGTGCCTCAATTTTATCTCACAACTTAGACATCCACATTACTTACACTCTCATAACACACACATATATATAGGGCCTTGAGGGTGGGCACGTTAACGGCGTCCAGTGGACGGTCTGTGTACTCAAACCTACCTCTGGCGCCTGGTGCCCACCTCTCAATTTTAAATCCATGTAGACATTGAGGGTTCTCGGGAGGGGCCGTGCTAACACCTGCTGCTCTCTGGCAGCAGCACCATGCTCTCCCTTGTTTTAAATGCACTTTAGAACAACACGCAGCAACACTACACATGAGCGGGAGGAGGGAGGTATGGGGTCTTCACACACCCCCGTTCTCTGCTAGCCATCGGGGCGGGGGGGCTGGGAGGAGATGTTGGCTGTCCGATTGGCCTCCCTGCTGCTGCGGAGCCTGGGACGGTCTGCTTGCCTCCACCCCGGGGGGAAGGGTAACATCTCTTGGGTCTGGGTTCTGTTTCCCCCTCTGGGGGCGAGGGTACCTGGACCCGGGGTATAGAGTATGTTTGGGGAGTGTGATTGTGTGTACATGTCCATTTATGTCAATCCTTACGTTGGGTGAGTGCTGAGTGTTTGTATATGTGTGCATGAGGGTGGGAATGCATGTTTGTGTCTGTGTGTGCCTGTTTGTCTGTGTCTATATGTCAGGTCGGGTCTTAGACTCCACCTCTCTGGGAACTCCCAGGCCCTCCAAAGTGTGGAGGCCTATCTCCCCTCACCACACTCCCTGCCGGTGACTGATGCCCTCAGGGGTCGGTGCATTGGTGGTTCTTGGTGTCCGGGGCTGGGCACTCAGGTATGTACCAGCTCACTCCCGGTGGCTATTGGCGGGGCCTGGTGCCTGTTGCTCGGTCAGGCCTCTTCCGGGGCGCGGGGGGCCCTTGGGCCTCCGGCCTCTGGGCCTGCGGCTCGGTTCACTCTGGCACAGCTGGCTGCCGGCAGAGCCGGCGGGCACGCCGGTGCAGCCCCCTCTAGCTTCTGCTCGGTGGCTACTGGGTGACCCCTCGTCTGGGGATCCTCAGCCCTTCCCATGAGGGTGGCACGGATGCCCCTCCGGTGGTCCTCCTTGGGCTCTCGCACTCTGGGGCCTCTGGATGTCTGGGGCCTGGATCTCCTCCATGCCTGCTTCATGCCCTGGGGGACAGGGCTATGGCTCTCTACATCCTCTTGCAGACCATTACATGGGGAAACCA